TCTCTTTCTCCTGCCCTTTTTTTCCCCTCTCCTTGCCTGAAGTTTCTCCTCACTTGCTGGAAATTGAGTAGGCTTCATTTTGGTGTAGAGATTTTTCAGAAACTACTCATTATTTTCAAAGCACATGCTCGGAAAGGTAGGTGGCTAATGAAAGACGATTTTCGTGCAGATTCAGGTCAAAGTGACATGGTTCTTTGGCTATTTCTCCAATCTCCTTCACTCAATTGCGCTCATTCTGGTATCGTCTGTAAGATATTTTCAACCTGTTCAAGTAAGCGCTCAAATTCGTGCTCCAGGGTTAAAAGTGATGACGTCACAAGGCGTAGAGAGGGTGTGGGTCCCCATGGGCGCATATGGGCGCACTGGACGTCAATAGGTTAATATAGGACGAAATACCCTATCAAACTGAAAAATTGTAAAAAAGCCTTTAGCTTACCTTATAACTAACGAAACAAATATCTCAAAGGGATCGATAATTCCCCTTTTTTTTAATTTTGATGACGTCATATGAAAACCAAGACTAGCATAGGAGGTCACGTTGATGACTGGCGAAAAGTTTCATTTTTTCAAAAGTCTTTTTCCTTTCGGGGTAAAACGTCAAATCTTTTGCATTCCGCAATATTTCTAATTCTGGATTTTATAGCGTCAAGCGAAAACCAAGGATTTCGCTAGGTGCAATCTTCCGTTGAGTGTTAAAGACATTTTAATTTTCAAATCAAACCCAGTTCTGTTCTATTCGTTATAACGGCCCGTACATCATGTATCAGTATAGAATAGAGAGATTTAGCACCGCGTTTACGTGAAACCTGAACGGCAAGAGTGACCTCGTGACCTTGTTTACTCGCCATTTTCTCACGTTTGCCGCTTGCGCTTTGTCTATTCTTCGTGAAAGCAACCTGTTTCGCGTTTGCCTTGTACGTAGGAGTTTTGTTCACTTTTTCTCTTTCAGAGTAAATGTTAATTGTCGGAAAAAGTGCACCAGAACTATTTCTTGTAAGTCATACAGGGGCGCCTTCAAGTCCAACATGACGTGAGCTC